TTTGACAACAGAAGAAGACATGGATGTCAGCCTCAGGCCTACACACTAGAAACTAGAAAAGTAATGCACGCAAGCTTGTAATCCCAGCATTGGAGAAACAGAGACAGGTAGATCCCTGGACTCAATGGCCAACCAGTCTGGCCTACTTGGCAGGCTCCAGACCATCGAGAGGCCCCTACCCCACTCCCCACCTCTCATGGTGGGGGAGGGTCAATTCAGCAGACCAGATTATCTGAGTTCAACCCCCAGAACCCTGCATACATAAAAAGCCAGAAGCAGTAGTGCGTGTGTCTGCAATACGAGTGCCTTTATAGGGAACTGGGAGGTGGAGAATTAGCCAATACTACAACAAGCCAGTACTGCAGAAACAAACAACCCCACTTCAACAAGGCTGAAGGCAAGAAATGACTTTCAAAAGTTGTCCTCTAACCCCACATGCATCCCTACACCCTCACAAACACATCACACCCTGCACAATAATAAATATTAATACACACAATAAGTAATAATAATAATTATTTTATTTTAAAAGTGGATAGCTGCCAGGCATGGTGTCACAGGCCTTTAATCCCAGCACTCAGGAGGCAGAAGCAGGAGGATCTCTGAGTTCAAGGCCAGCCTGGTCTACAGAGTGAGTTCCAGGACAGACAGAACTACACAGTAGAGAAACCTGCCTCAAAAAACAAACAAACAAACCAAAAAGGTAGATAGTGCCCAAAAGAAAAAAAAAAAAAAAAACTAAGTTTCCTCCAGCCTCCGCACTCATGGGCATCTGAACACACACAACTGTCAGCTACAGAAAAAGATGCCATAATGATGACATCCAACATTAAATGGAATAGGTAGAACTCAAGTAGGAAGGAATTTCTTCTAATATGTTTCCAATTAAGTTTACTTTGTTTTTGATCATTTTGTTTTATCTTGTCTTAGAAATAGTGGAGAACAAAGCCAGTACACCAGGTATAAGGTAAACATCCTATCATTGAGCTACACCCCAGCGCAATTTAAAAACAAAAAATTAAGATAGCGTCTTGGAGCTGGAGAGATAGATAGCTCAGCAGTTGAGGAAGCATGGCTGCTCTTCCAGAGGACTCAGGTTCAATTCCCAGCACCCAAAAGGCAGCTCACAACTGTCTGTAACTTTGGTTCCAGGCAATCTGACACCTTTACACCAATGCACATAAATGCACATAAAATAAAGTTAAATGGATTATTTTTTAAAAAGATAGAATCTCACTATTTAGCTCTGACTGGTTTGAAACTCACTATGTATACCAGGCTAGCCTTAAAATTGTATAGATCTTTTTGCCTCTGCTTCCCCAGTGCTAAGATTACAAATTTTAAAAGATGAGGAAGTGTATAGTGTATAAAAGTGATTAGCAGGGCTGAAGAGCTGGCTCAGAGGTTAAGCACATATACCATCTTTGTTGAGATCCCAGTACCCAAATCAGGTGGCTCTTGACTGCTGGAACCGCAGCTCCAGGGGATCCAATTCCCCTTCTGGCCTCCTCAGGCCCACACACACACACACACACACACACACACACACACACACACAAGTACAGGCACACAGACACATATATGCACATAACTAAAAGCAAAAATAAAATCTATAGACAGAAAAGATGGCTTGGCAGTTAAGAGCACTAACTGCTCTTCCAGAAAACCCAGGTTCAATTCCCAGCACCCACATGGAGGTATATAACCATTTGTACCTCCAGTTCTAGGGCATCTGACACCCTCTTCTGGCCTCCATGGACCCCAGGCATGCATGTAGTATACAGACATACCTGCAGGCAAAACACCCATATGCATAAAATAATTTTTAAACAGAAATCAAAATAAAATCTAAAAAACTGATTGAGGTGTGAAGTTGGCTAAAAAGAAGTAACTCTGGAAAATGTTCTCCACAATATAATTTTTATTTTTAAAACATCCACGGACTGGGGGCAACCAGAGCCTCAGCTTCCTGGAGGTGGGGATCCAGGAGGAAGCTATGCCTGGAAGCTTGCTTTTCTGATGATCCTCAGGGGTCACACCAGGGACAGGAAAGAGCACATTCAGCAAGAACTGATGCCGGTGAAGACGGAGAAGAGGAAGTCAGTGGCCTGAAAGCAGGGTGGAGAAGGAAAGAAGCAGCCCAGTTTGCCTGATCTGGCCTGCAGGCAGGGAGACCCAGGAAGCTGCTAGTGGATCACTTCCAAGGAAAAAGAGCAGAAAGGGCCGCCTAGGCAAAAAGGAGTCTCGGTGCCTCCCATTTTTCTCTGTAGTAAAAGAACAGCCGAGCCGGGCGGTGGTGGCACATGCCTTTAATCCCAGCACTCGGGAGGCAGAGGCAGGCAGATCTCTGTGAGTTCGAGACCAGCCTGGTCTACAAGAGCTAGTTCCAGGATAGGCTCCAAAGCCACAGGAAAAACCCTGTCTTGGGAGGAAGAAAAAAAAAGAAGTGTCCCATAGGCAAATGGCAGTTTATAAAGGGAAAAGAGGAAACCCCTTGTTAGGATAAGCTAGTTTGTTTTGATTGGACATGTTTAGGGTACTTTGGTAGCTGGACCTTGGTGGTTAGCCTCAGGGGAAGGAAGCAGCCATGTAAGGAAATAGACCTTGGTGGTCAGCCTCAGAAGGAGAAAGTGGTCAAATAAGGGAATAGAATAGACCTTGGGGGCTAGCTTTAGGAATGTAATCTTAACAGCTTGGCAAAGCAGAGGGAATTTGGGAATGGCAAGGCCTGCCAGAGCCATGTTTGCCATGCTAGGGCCTACTAGAGCCCATCAGTGTTGGCCATGGGAACTCTGCCTGTGACTGTGAGTCGGCCCACATATGATGGGCACAGGAGAAATGCAAGGACAAGTGGTGAGCACTGGGCAGTGATTCCTGTTGCTTTCTTGATAGATCTAGAATCAAGATACAGACAGACAAAGGCACTTTCTGGACACTGAATATCACACAGCTAGAGAGGGACCGCCAGAGGCCAAGACCCAGCCTGACTGGTCCCAATTTGGTGACAAACAAATGGCTGAGGAGGCTGGTGCTCTCACTAACCTTCTCCTGGTTCCTTCTGGGTAGTAATGGCAAACAGACTCTTCTGGTGGCTGGGATACAAAGCCAGAGACAGAAAGAGAGAAGCCCTCTGAGAGTCACCAGATGTCAATACAGGGCCTCCTAGGGAGCTTCAGACACAACAGCTGCCCAGGGGCAAACAGAAGGAAAGCCAGCTAGAGGTCAATATCACAACCAGAGCAGCCTCAGCAAGTTACTCTGCACCCTAGCTGTACCTGTCTCCTGTCACCAGCTCCTTGATCATTCCAGCCACTCAGCTCCCCATGGGCACCCTGTTCACTGGCTGCAGTGACTCTGGCCTTGCTAGACCCAACCCCAGCCAGACCAATGCCAGACTTTGTAGTAGGTAGGCATGAAGGTATGCAGGGCAATCAGAATGGCCTGGAGGGCCCAGGCCCTGCTCCCTCCAGGCCCAGTGGCCAGCTAGTGCCTCAGCAAGGCTACTTCTGTCTACTGTGCACATGAATGGGAGGATGAGGAGTGCTCAGCACAGTGCTAGGCTCTTGGGGTTCAGCAGCTAGCAACACCATCAAGCTGTTTCCTGAGTTTCCAAGGAGCCTGCTGTCCAACTTTGCCTTTTGGAGCTAGTTCTTTAGGAATCTCATCAGTAGGCTCCAAGTTTGTTGAGGGCAACTGCCTTCACTGAGGATGAAAAACAAAAGAGGAAGGTGGAGAAGGAAGAGGAAGGTGGAGAAGGAAGAGGAGGTGGTGGCAATGTCTTCATTCCCACAAACCCCCAGTGCCGGCCAGTCAAGTGTGCTGAGCACAGCACCATCTGTATATGGCTCCTGGGAGGCTGCTCTTTGTAAGTATTGTACTCATGTGTTACAGGGTACCACTGGGTGTCATCACCCGGTGACCACCAGCTAGTCATCTGGTGACACACAGGAAGTGTGCCTGCCTTCATATGGGCTTCTTGTCAGGAAAAAAAAAAAAAAAAAAAAAAGCTGAGCTGTGAGGAATCCGGGCAGGGAAAGCCTTCCCCTCGAACATCGTTCACTAGTGTCTCGACTCTGGAGCCAGGGAGTCAAGGAGTGACTCCTGTACCCAGAGGAATGGGGTGGCCTACCCTGTGGACCCTCTCAACACTATTCTGCCTTGGACCCTCCCAGGCCCTGGGCCTGGAGGGAGGTGCCTGTCCAGGTGAGAGGGGTCTGCTTGGGAATGTGGCCACACATATCTGTATATGCCCGCATGTGTGGCAGCAGGAAATGGGACATATTAGAAGAGCAGCTTAGGAACACATCCAGAGGGTGGCTACCACTCAGCACCCTAGGGGCATGAGTGGGTGCAGAAAGCCACCCTTCTTGTATCTCTCTTATTCTGTGCAGATGTCAAGATTGTAGGTCTGGGGGCCCAGGACAAGTTGGCTGTCATCCAAAGTTGTCCTGGCTTTCCTGGCCCACCCGGCCCCAAAGGGGATCGTGGCAGTCCTGCTGAGAAAGGTAGAGATGTGGACAGGGAGATTCCCCTATCACCTTCCCCTTGCCCGGTCCTCCTCCAGTACCACCTAGGGAATGGGATCCAGTTCAGTCCTCTCATTTGCAGGAGAGCGGGGCTTCCAAGGCAGTCCAGGAAAGATGGGGCCTGCTGGCAGCAAAGGTAAGAGGGAACTCTCCCATGGGTCTATCTGCACAAGATCTGGAGCAGTACCAGTAGCACCTTGGCCCCCACACCCTCCTCCCCTACAAGATACCTAGCTGCGTGATGCCTGCCCACTTGCTAGCTGGCTGGGAATTCAGGTCTCCCTCTTACAAGCTCTCACGTGGATACCTATGTGTGTGCGTGCGCGCGCGCGCGCGCACACACACACACACACACACACACACACACACACACACACACACACTGTGATGAAGAGAGCCTCTTCCGTTATGGAGGCCAGCACTTTAAGAACACCCTTTCTGTCTACAGGAGAGCCAGGAACCATGGGTCCTCCAGGAGCCAAAGGTGAGCCTGGTAACCAAGGCTTCTCAGATAGGGACGAAGAAGGAGCAATACATGCTTAGGGTCTCGTTGGTTTAAGGGAGGCCTTGGGCACAAAGAGGGCAGGATGTTCCTAGCAGCACCACTCCAGGATTGCTCCCAAAGTCTCCCTGGCTCATTATGCACATCAGAATGTTGGGGGCTCACAGACCAGAGGAGAAGTTGGATGCTGGGGGTGGTGCCGGACAGATTTGGCAGGATTCCAGCTCTGGGACATGGCTGGTATGCTGTCTTCCTCCAGGGGAGAAAGGTGAAACAGGAGCTGCACCATCCCTGGGTAAGTACATCCTGAAGTCTCTTTTTAAATTTCCAGCATTGTTACCTTGTAGTTATGAGTAAAGAACAAGCCCCAACTGGGGCCCAAGGAACCCTAAATGATAACAAAAGAGCAGCAGAAAGGCCTCCAGGTCCAAAGACACAGGAGGAAGGATTCATTCCACCTACCCACCAGCCCAGCATCAGAGGCTGGTATGGCCTGAGGCATCACTGGGTCCAGCCAGCACCCTGACCTATCCCAAGTCTAGACATAGTCACAGATGGAACAAAACACACAGAGGGCAGCCAAACACATAAAGGAGCCTCAGGCCAGCAGAGGCCAGACAGGATGGGTGTGCTGGGCTCTTCTGCAAGAGGATCCAGCACCAGCTATGTCAAGTAGAATATGGAGTGCTAGGGGATATATCTGTGTTGGGAAGAGACCAAGGAAGAAAATGACACTCGCGTCTCCTGCCCAGGTGAGAAGGAGCTAGGAGACACCCTGTGCCAGAGAGGTAAGTGACCTCCAGCTGGCCCCTCCTACCTCATGACAGCAAGAATAAAATGCAGGAACCCGTATTACTGGATCCTTTTTGCTTGACCCTGGAGCACACCCAAGGTACAGGCCAATCCTGCCTGCTTCCCCATCGTACAGGGCCCTGGAGCTGCAAAGACATGCTGACACGGGGGACCTTCCTGACTGGCTGGTACACCATCTATCTTCCTGACTGCCGACCACTGACTGTGCTCTGTGACATGGATGTGGATGGTGGGGGCTGGACAGTGAGTTAGAAGACTCAATTCAGGGTGTATGAAGTTTGCATACAGCAGCCACCCTCAGGAGAGCCAAGGGCAGAAGCCAAAGAGATAGCAAAGTAACCACAAAAAAAAAAAAAGTGCAGTGCTGCTACAAAGGAGACCCTAAGCACTGATAGACCAGAATTTAGGACTCCATGGAATTAAGTGGGCAATAGGACCCCAGTCATGACAGATACATCAAAATACTGACAGCCCTGCTTTTTGCATTGGGCTACTAGTGTCCACCAATCACCTTTGTATTCACCTGTGCCACCTGCCTCCTGAAACCTTGTCCTCATCCACTTCCTGATGGGGGCACAAAAAGAGGGGGTAGCCTACACATATCTCTCATCCCTACTCCTCAGAGCCCCACACCCACAGGCTGCCCTGCCCACCTCACAGGTTTTTCAACGACGAGTGGGTGGCTCCATCAACTTCTTCCGAGACTGGGACTCCTATAAAAGAGGCTTTGGCAACCTGGGCACAGAGTTCTGGTTGGGCAATGACTACCTGCACCTGCTCACTGCCAATGGTGAGGAATCAGCACCTCAGCCAGCGCCTGCCCTCCGCAGCTCCGCCTAGCTTCAGCCTTTTCCTTCCTTTCCATCCATGTGGCTAGGGAACCAAGAGCTCCGGGTCGACTTACAAGATTTCCAAGGTGAAACCTCCTATGCCAAGTACAGCTCATTCCGGGTGTCTGGAGAACAGGAGAAATACAAGCTGACGCTGGGAGAGTTTCTTGGCGGCACTGCAGGTAAATCATGTAGAGCTTGAAGCTGTTTTTGGGGACATGGAAAGGGGTCTGCAAGCTGCCCCTGCCCATCTGGGATGGGCCCTGCCTTGGCCCTGAGGACTGACAGGTGTGAATCTTTCTAGGAGACTCCCTGACAGGTCACAGCAACAGGTCATTCACAACCCATGACCAGGATAATGATACGAATAGCCAGAATAATTGTGCAATTTTATTCCATGGGGCCTGGTGGTATCACTCCTGTCACCAGTCCAACCTCAACGGACGCTACTTGCGTGGCTCCCATGACAGTTATGCAGATGGCATCAACTGGTTAACGGGCAGAGGCCACCGCTACTCCTACAAGGTTGCTGAGATGAAGATCCGGGCAGCCTAAGGTGCCCCTCCCCCCACCCATGCAGCCATGCCCTGGCCAAGTGGGGACACTGAAGGACGGGATTATGAGAAAATGATGTCTGTATGCTGTCTGCTATGCGCTCCCTACACTCCCCTATGGACATTGTCCAGCACATGAACAGTGTGCACTAATAAAAGTCAAAGAAGTAGAAATGGTGGCCTGAACTCTGGGAGGGTCTGCAGTAGTAAAGGGCAGCAAGCAAGGGAGGCCCCCAAACATCCATGGCAGCCTTGAGGCTGAGACCCAGAGAGTCACCAAGATGACAGCACTAGGGAGGAGTTGGCACAGCCTTCCAAGACCTGCTTCCAGGAACAAACCCATTAATGAGTGGACAGATCAAAGGGAGACCAATTGAGTGCCTGCTGTAGCCCTGAACAGAAAGGTGCAGCAAAGGTTTCGTGGGGCTTGGAGTTCCTTCCCACAATCTCTTCTACCATAGCAACTCCATGGCCACTCCAGGCACAGGGGACACAGATCCAAGCAGTCAGTGCTGAGTATAGTCCCAGGAAACCAAAGGCAGATAGATGGCAGATGGTGACCTCAGGAACTCTGGAAAGACAGATGGTGGGCACAGGGAAGCTTTTGATGTCTGGGACTCAGCCAGGAGGAGCCCAGAGGCCACTGGGCAGATGTTCACACTATACCTAAGAACAAACTGAGGCCCAAAGGACTGAGTGCTGCTGAAAGCCACCCCTGGCTCATTCTCAGGAGACAAGTGTGTCCATCCTGGAAGGTTCAGAGGGTGAGGCCTACAGTGCAGCCCCATAGCAATGGAGCAGGTAGTTGCAGTGCTATGACCAGGCCCAGGAGTACAAAGCCAGGACCCACTGTGAAAAAAAATGCTACATGTAGCCAGTCAGACCAGGAGCTCCCTGACCATTGATGACCACACACCCCGCCTTGCCAAGGCTTCAGGATCTTGAAGGTCATTCAGCTGAGAAAAGAGGGCAGCAAGTACAGGAGGCAGAGGTAGCAACTTGAGTGACACCTACTGGCCTAGACCCTAAGAAAGAAGAGCACCAAAATATTCAAGCTGACAGAGGAATAGGATGGGTGCCAGTATTAGGAGGATGCAGATGGTACTTTCATCCATATGGACACAACAAACTAAAGTGACTCTTTGGGGCAAATCTGGGGATACCTGAGATAACCACTGTTCCCATGGTAGGGAAGCTGATGTTGACAGAGTGACTCCACAGGGAACACAAACCCAATCATTGTCCCCATAGAAGAGAAGGGGACCAAGGGACAGGTGCAGAAACTGAGGGGGAAAGGGAGGCAGCAGAGGGCTGAGTGAGAGGCTGGGGTGAGGATGTGAAGACAGAGGGGTCCCCACTCAGAGACCTCTTTATGGATACTCCAGGGTTCCCAAGAGTCCTAAAGGGAACACGTACTGGTAACACCAGCTGTACAGTCTTCATGTCTCTTCCACTGTTAGGTACCAGCTAATGCCAGTTAGTAGGACTTGAGGGTACATTTTTATTTTTAGGAGCATCCTAAATTTCTCTAGATTCCATACAAAATATCAATGACTTTAAGTAATAAGCAATAATCTATCTTTTTTTTAACAAAGCTTTTCATTTTATGTATATGTGTGTTTTGCCTGAATATATGCCTGTGTAGCACATGTGTGCCTGGTACCTATGGAAGCCAAATGAGGAAATCAAATTCCCTCAGACTGTAGTTACGGATGGTTGTGAGCTGCATGTGGTTGCTGGGAATGGAACCCAGGTCCTCTGCAAGAACAGTTAGTGCTCTTAACTGCTGAGCCATCGCTCTAGTACCCAATTATCAATCTTTTTGCTGGGTGGTGGTGGTGCCTGCCTTTAATTCCAGCACTCTTGAGGCAGGTGGATCTCTCAGTTTGCAAAAGCAAAAAGAAGAGGAGGAGGGGGAGGGGCGCTCAGTAGATAAGAACACTCACTACTCAGAGAGGTCTGGAGTTCAGTTCCCACAACCTATAGCTTGTCTCTCATAGATGCCTATAACTTGGAACCAGATGCTCCCTTCTGACCTATGCAGGCACCTACACATATGTGCACATACCCACAATACAGACATATGTAACTAAAAAATAAAAGATGGGACTGAGTCTTTAAACTGCTTACCATGCAACCTTGAAGCCCTAAGTCCAACCCCCTTCCCTCCCCTCCCTCTCTCTCTGAAACAGGCCCTCAAGTTCAGCCCATACTGACCTTCACCTCCCCAGTGCTAGGATGACTTGGGTACACACCACAGCCAGATTCTCAAAACACTTTTCACCCAGATATAAATGCCTGGCAAAACCCTAAACCCACTCAAACCTGCTGCCCACAGTCTCTGAGCCCAACCCATGCAGCTGAGTCCTGCCACAGCCCACTGGGCTATGCCATCAACTTGGCTTCTGATCTGCTGGGACACTCTATGGTAAGCCAAACAACCCACGAGATTCCCTGAAAAGCATTTACAGTCCCTCTCTGTCCCTAGCTCCTCTCATGTTTGGTTGGCAAAGTCAATTTCAGGTAGTCCACCCACCTGTGTCCCAGAGATGTTTTTCACATACCATCCAATCCTTCTCTACTCCTGGCTCATACTTTCCAAAACGCTCAGCCCACCAACTGCCCTCTGGAAGCCTCTGGATGTCCCATGTCCTGGCCTCTCCCTGTCCAACCAGTACCTTGTGACCTCCTGTGGGCAGCTCTATGGACTCCTCCATAGGACCCCAGCCCCGGACACAGAGCAGGCACTAAAAATGGGTTCAACTGAATTTCTGGAGTTTCAAAAGTCTCTACTCGTTGTGACTTTCGGAGAATCGTTAATTGAAGTCTTAAAGCGGAGCCCCATCTCATGTAATAAGAACGACCATTGCGCTCTTGAAGTAGTGACGAAAGCCAGGGCTGCTTTCAGTGTCACAAAAACCCCAAGCTCAACTCCGAGCGAGATCCATTCCCTCCCCTCCACAGCCCACGTGAGTCTAGATTCCTCCTCTTAGGCGGGGCTTTCGGGATCCTGATACTCTCTGCTACGTTCTGCGTTCTGCGCAAGCCCGAGTCTTTGGCCCCACCCCGCCCCCAGGAGACGGTCTTCCCTGGCGAACTCGGCCAACCATGGTGAATTTGGGCCTGTCCCGAGTGGATGACGCAGTGGCCGCCAAGCACCCGGTGAGAAAGAAGGCTGGCTTGGGGTGCTTTAGAAACTGATCTCAAGGAGACTACAGGCAGAGGGAGCTCCGTCAAAGAGTGGCGGAGGGGGGATCCTCCTGCCATAGGAATAGAGACGCTGAATGAGTTTAGGGGAGAGTGGGATATATCCAGTCCCTAGTGTCCCTACCCAAGGCCAGGTCATGCCCAAAGGAGGAGCAGGAGGGAAAGGGGAAAGGGAACCGAGCCATAAACACCACCACCCCCATCCCAGGGACTCGAGGAATATGCCGTGTGCCAGTCGAACGCCTTCATGAAGGGCGTTTTCACCTTTGTCACAGGTAGGCGTTCCAGGGGTCTCGGGGTGCACAAAGGACCCACCTTAAAGGGGGAAAAAAAAAAAATGTAACCTACTGTCCCACCGTGTCTTCCCAGAAGGTGGCGCCAAGTCATCTTGCCTGCACTGCAGGTGCAGTAGGCACCAAAACCACCTCCTTGCAGCCTTATCAAATCAAGGGTTCCTTGGCTCTTGGTAGGCACTGGTGCGACTTTCGGTCTGCAGCTGTTCATTAAGCGGAAATTTCCATACCCTGTCCAGTGGAACTTTCTGGTGTCTGCCGGTGAGTACTCCATGGTGGGTGCTTAGGCCCTAAAATGCATCCATTACCAGGGGCTCTACAACGTTGGTGTGTTTCTGATAAAGACCCGACTGTGGCTGGAGCCCACCCACCCTGTCTGTCCAGAATGAACATATGCCAGGTCCCCTGTGAAAAGCTCAGAGGTTAAGGTCCCCAACTCACCACCCTCCTGCTTCCTGCTCTCCAGTTGTAGGGTCTGTGGCCAGCTACAAGGTGACAAGAATGGAGTCTCAGAAATGCAGAGATCTCTGGCTCTTCCTGGAGACAGGGAAACTCCCCAAAGACATGAGCACAGGTGAGCATAGGTGAGAGGGCCCCAGAGGCGCAGCAACAAGTTTCAGGAAGACAAACCCACAAGACTCAAATGATAGACTGATCCCCTTCCCTCCAGCCAGCCTTGCCTTCCCCTTGAGGGGCTGAGGCTAGAGAGATCACAACAAGGATTGAGCAGTGCATTCCCTGGAGGAAGATCCAGGAAATTAGGACAGGGCACAGCAGTTACACCAACAAGTCAGAAAGGAGTGTGTAAGACTGAGACCCTGGATCTGAGGGGCCTCAGGCCAGATTGTCCTTGTTCATTTTGTTCTTCTGAGAACAAAAGGTTCCATAGTCCAGGCTGGCCTTGAGTCCTGCTTCTACCTCCTAGACTTGGGATTATAAGCCTGTGTAACCACATCTGACAGGAGCTGTTTTTGTCATGACAGGACAGGATCAGGGACCCTCAAAAACCACAGACCTGAATCCAGCTGTTTCCCTTTGCCTCTTACAGACCATCAAGACTAGAAGAGCTCTGGCTGCTGGGGTGTGGAGGATCTGTCTCGGAGAAATCCTGGAGCACAGACTTTGACCCCATCTAACTACAGGCTGGTCCTTCCTACCTCACCACACACACACACACACACACACACACACACACACACACACACACACACCAATTTGTCACCTGTCCTCTACACATGTGTATGGGCAGACCTGCCTGACAACCTGTGATGCCATTGCTGCCCCAAATCCAGGACTTGCCAGGAGTCCAGTTCGGAAAAGGGCCTGGGAGAGGGGGTCTCCTCTGGAGCAGTAAGAAGCAGGGTATCAGAGAGGGTTGTATCCTGTTGCACACAACTGTGGGGGGCGGCAGCAGGCTGCAAGTGGTGAAAGAGACTTGTGTATCTTCTCTGGTGCTTTGGGGTCCCTTTTCTGACCTCTGTGACCCAAGTCCAAGGATAATTATGGAGGGTTGTGGCTAATAAATAATAAATTATGGAGGGTTGTGGCTAATAAATGGCTTGTCCTTTTCCTACTCGAGTTCTAACACAATTAAACAAGAGTCGGTGAGGTTGTTCAGTGGGTAAAGTACCTGCTGATGACTGAGTTTAATCCCCAAGAACCACATGGTAGAAGGAGTAACAACTCCCATATGTGGTTCTCTAATCTCTACTGGGGTATATGGTTTCCCATTACACATGCACAGGCACACACTAAATAAATAAATAAATAAATAAATACAGGTATAATTTTAAAAAGAAAGCCTGGGTAGTGGTGGTGCATGCCTTTAATCCCTGCACTCGGGAGGCAGGCGGATCTGTGAGTTCAAGGCTGGCCTGATCTACAGAAGGAATTCTAAGATAGCCAAGGGCTACACACAGAAACCCTGTCTCAAAAAAACGAAAAGAAAAACAAAAAGAAGCTAGGGGGTGAAAAGATGTGATCATGCACCTGTGTGGCCATTAGCTGACATTAGAGGACATGCAGAAGTTAGTTCCTAATGTAGAACAGCCCCAGAACTAGATGTTCCTTCCAGCCATCTAGGCCATGTAGTTACACCAATGCTTCTCTTCCTTTCAAATCTAGGGCAGAACAGAGTTAGCTGCTGCCAGAGTCCAGGCAGGGGCATGAGTCATGCCCACCCACTTGGCATCAGTGAAGCCCCTTCTCCAAGAAGTAAGAAGCAGCAGAGCTCCAAAGGAAATGGCTGGGGGAGTGAGACCACCCATACCAACCAGCCCCATTAAAAAGAACAGAGATGGTCCCAACCTTGGCATTCCAGGAGCACAAAGACTTGGTCTTGGCCTGCTTGTACACCTCTACCAAGCTTGTCAATCGGAAGTCTATGAGAATAAAGTGGTGGGCAAAGTGGCAGTAGGCCTCACATAGTAGAAGCTTGAGCCAACTTAGATTTCTTGTAGAAATCTAGGTAAGTGGTCTATCAGTGTGTGTGCTGTTGCCAACAACATACCACAGACTTGGACAGATTATAATAATTAAAAAACATGTTTTAGCCCATGGTTCTGGAGGCCCAAGGCCCAACAGCCATTTGGTGGTGGCTGTCATTCTGGCAGAGTCCAGACACATCACAGGTCATATGGCCAGAAAGAGAGCATACATGTCGCTTCCTCTTCCTATAAAGTCATCAAGGTTTGACCATGGTGGCTCTACCCTGGTAACTTCAATTCTTATCATCTCTCAAAAGCCCTACCTTGAATGACACAGTCCTATTTTCTACCCTCTTAAAACCTCACAATGGGGTGGAGGTGGGGGTAAACTCCAGCATGAGCTTTGGAGGACAAGCCATCTTCAGACCCTGGCAGTGTCTTAAAAGCTGTTCTGGGGCCAGGGACCCAGGCTTCCCTCAATCTCTTCCCTGTTGTAATGGCTCCCACTTCTCAACCTAGCTCATTGTGCCAGGTGGCTTCACCAGCTCCAGCTACTGCATCTTCATCCCATTTAACAGAAAGAAGAAAGGAAGAGGACAGTTCTTCCACCATGTCTGTATACATACTACCGGCCAGAACTAAGACACATGGTACATCTACTGAAAGGAAACCCAGGAAGGCAGCCTTGCTCTAGACAGCCATTTGTCCCACTACAATTCAGGAGTTCTGTATCTGAGGGAAAAGAAAGAGTCAATACTAGGGGATATAAGTTGACTCCGCCTCAGCTGGATACCAAGCTGGGACACCAAAATCTAGGGAGGTAAGGTTAGCAGCTATGGCCATCGCAGGTCCTTCCAGCCCTCTTGAGGATGAGGCGTAGACCAGAAGGGAGGCAGATGGTAAACAGAGTTTAGACTGTACAGGAAAGTGTCTAAAAGGTAAGGGATCCTTGTGAGAAGGCAGGAAGATAGACACTAATGTGCCCTGTGTTATACACATGGTCTGACTACATAACCCCCCAAATTCATATACTCAAGTCCTAGCCCACAGGATCTCAGAAGGCAACTACTGGAGATGAACCCTTTAATGAAGTCATTAGGGCTAACTGATGCTATGGGTCTAATCAGTCTTTCTGGCATCCTTATAAGAGGAGACTGCGACACAGATGGGCACAGAGGGACAACCACGTGAGATCACAGGAACAGAAAGCATTGACAGCAGAGGGGAAACACAGCAGAAGAACCAGCCATTGGACACCCTGACCCAGCCTTCTACTCACAGACTGAAGAATAAATGTCTGAAGAGTAAGCCTCTCCCCCCCCTTTACTTAGTTATGCAGACCCAGGCAGACTAGGTTTCAGAAAGTGTCTGCTCACATACCCCATGGTGTTCTGGGTTGCTGATTGCTCCTGGCACACTGCTCTAAAGGAAGGGGTTGGGTGTAGATGTGTGGACTTGCCCCTGCCAGTGACTTCCAAAGTCCCTGGAACTGAGGGAGGTGGGAGTCAGACAGGGTGGCACCAGACAGACAGACAGTTCTGGGAAAGTTGGAAGAGACAGACCAGTGATGGGCAGAAGCTGGGGTGGGATGCCAGGTCACCCAGTGCCTGGGCTTTGGACTATGAGTATGGGCTGGAGAGAGAGAGGTCTCGCCAAGCCAAGCACAGACACTGAGGTTAGAAGTGGGAGGCACAGTCAAGCTGCTTTGTGGCCTTAGGAGCAGGGGCGGGAACAGGGAAGTGTGTGTGTGGGGGGGTGCTGGGTGAAGTGTTTATTAAACCATCACAAACTGCCTACCACTACCAAAAGGTCTCTGGTGTCCAATGGAGCTCCTGAAGCAGCAACCTCAAGACTCATTTCCATTAGGGCAAGTACCCAGAGGTGTCCCTGAGGATGAATTTGAAAGGGTGAATTCCAGAAGGATGGAATTTCAGGGTTCCCAGGGCATTGAGAACCTTGGTCCCGTCACAATGACCTGAAATTCCAAGGACAATCTCAACCTAGGCTCAGTTGAGCAGGCAACTGCACAGGGAGGGCGAAAGGCGCACAGGGCCCCTGGAGGACCTTTAGGCCCACCATGAAGATTCACAATGAAGTGGCTAAAGCGACTGTGGAGGCGCAAATACAGGAGCTAAGGACCATCACTAGGCTCCAGGGTGAGCCTCACACTGAGGACTGCCACTCTGGCAACTTGCCATTCTACTACCCACCCAGGCCCCCACAGTGGGCAAAAGTCACAGAAGGGTCTGTTGTGTGAGGGGAGTTTCAAGGAGATTTGTGTATTTACCACAATATTGTTCCAAAGTTGGAGGGGTGGAGGAGGGGTCTGCCTGTTTCTGGGCACAGAAGCTCTGAAAGAGACAGGGTTCCCCATCCCTGGTCTTAGCTTCCCCCCTCCCCCTCTTTACTGCCCAGTATCCATCTCTGGAGAGCCTTGCAGATTACCACTTTGAGTGGAGAAGCCTGAGTCTTCCAGAACAGGAAGGGGAAAGAGGAGAGAAATGGTCACAGAGGCGATGCCGTATTCCACCAGGCTCTCTGGGTATTTTGCTGAGATTCCCAGTCAGTCCTTTGGCCTACTGTCTGGTAATCTTGTTCCCTCTGTCACCTACAGAACAATGTCGGGCGCTCCAGATCCAGAGTGTGAAGGAGAAGACAGCACAGAACAAGGCTACACTGAGCCTCCTGCGCAGAAACCTCCGTCGAGGGGCCCATGACTGGGCTTTGGCTAAAAAGGTGCGAAAGCCTCACTCACCCCTCGCAGTCTGGAGAATAGGAGGTGGCCGCTCACTTAACACATGCACATACCCTATCCCTTTATCTGGACCAGAAGGCCTGCCGGGGTGGGTACCTTTGTGACTGGTGCCCAGGGCAGGTTCCCCAACACCCACCCGGAGTGCTTAGCACCGGCAGCAGGGACTCCTTGGGCTCTCTGACCTCCTTTCCGAACCCCATCACACTGGAGTAGGGATGTCCCTGGAGGGGGTCCTGCACGCTCTGCTCAGGGGTCCCAGGACCAACGGTCTCCTTGCTGGGCTAGCAGCGAGTAAGAGGCGCTGAAGGGATACTCCTGAGTTATCAGTGCCAAAGGGAACGCAAAAGGGCCAGGCTCCCGGCTCAGCCACCACCTCTCCACAGTATGATCAGTGGACCATCTCCAAGGCCTGCTCGCCCCTCTCAGCCATAGTCCCGGAGGCTCGCCCACAGTAAATGTTGCCTATTAGCAGGCCAGAGGCCGGCGGAAAGCGAAGCGCGTTCTCTCCTCTTGCTCCCTAGGGGGCAGCCGCGGGTCCCCGACCTGCAGCCTCCCTGGGGTCCCCGCGGCGTTCCCTCTTGCACCCACACGCGGGCGCCTTTCCGGACCCAGGTGGCTCGGGAGAAGCTGCGTAAGTACGTCTTCGACCGTGTGAATGCACACAACGTGCTGATCCATCTAGCTCGGCGACGAGGACAGAAGCTGGAGAGCTTGCAGCTGGAACTGGCCAGCCTGCGGAGCCAGCCTGATGCCACTAAGGATGAACTAAAGCTGCTGCAGGTGCCCGGGTACCGGGCGGGGGCGGGGCTCCGACTGTGCGCCAGAACTTCCGGGAGCGGCGGGACTCAGCGAGCAAGACTCCGAAAGGGTTGTTCTACGCCAGAAGATGTGGAGATTCTGTAACAAGGACAGAGTCCCGCCTTCAGACAGGGGACCCTGTATTAAGGCTGAACCGCTGATTAGGCAGGGTTCTGCGGGAAGGGCATCTCCTTTGGTGAGGATCTTTATAAGGCAAAAACACTTTAGCTGGTGAAACTGGCCTCCAGCGGAAGGGTGGGACTACATCAGAAGGGTGAGACCTCCGGACGGGCAAGACCCTTTGGTTAGTCTGTGCTTTACATGGCTGTGTACAAAGAGGAAAACTTACTAACAGGGAGCGGGAAACCGATGCTCTGAGGTAATGTTTTATCACACAGCTGTAAACATGAAGTTGGGAAGCAAAACCATTTTATACATGGTTACTGGGAGGTGGATAAGATGTACAATAATGACTTCTCCTGCGGGGCCTGGTGGTAGGGGCAAAACTAGGGGAGCCCAACACCCTTGTGTGAAAGCCCAGCCTCCCACTCCCATCCCTCACCCCGAGCCCTCCTGGGCAGGGTTCTGCCTCTTCACACCTGATCTGAGGTTTCCGGGAGATGGGTCTTGTCACCAAGCCTTTTCAGTGATCCAACTCCACCACTGCCATCAGATTATCCGCCAGCTGGAGAACAACATCGAAAAGACCACGATCAAGATCACCACCAGCCAGAACATCCACATGTTGTACACAGACCTGCTGGATTATCTGAAGAAGGTGAGCCTCTCACCCAGGGAGCCTCACCTGCCACTCTCTTCCAAGCAGCCAGCAAAGCAGCCCTAAAAGTATGTGGAAACTTTCTTTAGAGAACTTCATTTTTGTCGTTCCACACGAGCATATTATGGGGTGCACCTGTTGTTTGGGCTTAAGCCTGGGCATGGTAGCACAGGTCTGTGATCTCAGCACTCAAGAGCCTAAGATGGGAGATTACACATTCCAGGCCAGCCTGGGCTACACAGTGAGAACCTGCTCAAAAACAGATAAATGCAAATCACACACACACACACACACACACACACACACACACACACACACACACACACAAAAATTTTCTTTCACATATTAAACAGTTTAGTTTGGGTCTTTGAGGGTCAAAGATGGGCCATACTCCCCTCCCAGGAAGTCCCTTAACATGGTTCAGGGTAGGCTCCTTTCCCACCTCCCAAAATGTGGTGAACACACAGCTTCCTGCCCACTTTGGATCTGGCTACTCTGCTTTCTGTATTGGAAGCAGGAGGAAGTAAATTCTGGCCCATGTAAGCCCCAGGGAGCCATGACCATGAATCTCACCGGGCATACTCCCACTATGGCTCCCATAGTGGAAGTGGGGGAGAAAGGGCTTCAGGGCAGCAGGGTACTGAAGGCAGCAGTGGAGAAAGTGGCCGGGAGAAATCCCTAATGCCTTCATCCTAAGAAAGGGAGTGGCATAGCATCGCTGGGAGCAAGGGTTGGTATGTAGGCAGATGCAGCAGCCTCTCCATGTGGGGGTCATATCCCTAAGCCAGGATCTCACCATCATGCTCTGGTCTGTCCTTCTTACCTGACCCCAGTGCTGCAGGCTCAACTGGAAGCCCTGCCCACTTTTCCTTCCTGTGTCAAACCCTCCCCACACTTTCACCTAGGTGTTCTTTGTAGAACTTTCTTTCCAGAACACACTTGAAACAGAGCCCCATATCCACTTTTTTTTTAATTGGCCAAGATTCAGCATGTACAGGTTTTAACAGCAAAATATCAATAGCTAAGCTTCCTTGTCCATCAATGCACCTAGCCTTGTGCTAAATATGTGTTACTTCTCCATCTATCCTAACAGAAACCTGGCTAAGTGTGATCCCAAGATCACAAAGCTAGCTGATTAGAAGTGAATGTCACTTTGAACCCTATCTGGCTCCAAGCCCATCTTTCAAGCCCCTTTGTTCCACTTCAGACCAAAGATGCCCCCAAGCAAACCCTCCTGGGTTTTAAAGTTGACCTCTGCTGGGTACAACACTGTGTCATCATATCTTCTTGTCCTGGGTAATGAGAGTTCATAGATCACCAATGACTATCCATACTAGAGCACTTCTTTCTCCTGTGACTTGCCCAGAGGCTGGGCCACTGACAGAAGCCCGACCCTGTTCCCAGGCTTATACAGTCTGGGAATGAAGAGTGGAAGAGAATCAGAGAGCTCAGCAAAGCCAGCAATAGAGTATGATAGCACCAAAGGAAGCCATGGCTTCATGACCATGTTGCCTTTGCCCATCCTGATAGGTTCTGGCAAGCTATCCCACAGAGCTAGACAAGCTTCAGAACACGGTGACCAAGTACTGCTTGGAGCTGTCAGATATGACGATCGTGTCCCAAGATGCCATGATGATTACTGATGAGGTCAGGGTGAGTCCCAGGATTGGGGAACCATCAATTGCTAGCTCTCTTGATCTTATCTTATCTTGTTCAGAACCTATCTGGACATCCTATGCCTACCATACCCATCATCCCTGGAGAAATCCATTCTCAGCCCTACCAATGGGACAGAGAAAGTCAATTTGGGAACAGAGGCCATAATAAATGTGGCCAGGACAATGGGTGTCTATTCACTTTGTCACTACCAGAATCCCTGTCTCTAGGGAGACAGGACTAGGGGCCATCAAGCCCCATCCTCCTGACATGGGCAATTCATCCAGTAGCCCACCACATCATATCTCCGTCAGTATGGCAGGAAGAGGCAATGGGTTTCAGAAGTCTCTAGGGTGGCTTTCCAAGGAAATATGCTTGAATGGGCCCTGAAAGGCCAGCAAAGTCCAGGAGTAATCAGAGCTCAGAAGGAGAAAGAACAGAGAAGCCAAGGCTGTTGCCACATGTTAGTGCACAGAGCCTGACATAGCTTCCCTGCATGAGACAGTGGAGGCTATAGGATCCTCAGGCTTACAGCCTCCAAGAAGATAGAAGGACACATGATCAGATTGAGCTTTATGCTGGGCATGGTGGCACAAGCCTTTAAATCCCAGCAGTCAGGAAGCAGAGGCAGACAGATCTCTGAGTTCAAGGCCAGCCTGATCTACAGAATGAGTTCCAGGACAGCCAGGGCTACACAGAAAAACCCTGTCTTGGAAACAAGCAACAAACAAACAACAAAAAATCCACCACAGATTGTATTTTATAGTGGCACACATTAACTGCGGGTTCCAGAAGGGGAGCAGAACTACTGGCTGTGTGGCCAGGCCAGTAGTATAATGGGGTGGGGTGGCAGAAGCAGACAGGGCAGGGGTAAGGGGTGACCACAGTGAACTTTAGTGATAGGAGTGGTGTAAGAGAAAGGCAACGGAAGCAAGGAAGGAGGGATGATAGTTTTCAGCCACAAAAGCAGGATGGAGGAGAGACCAAGTTTGAGAACAAAGGGGATGAATTGCTTTTAGATATGTTAAATCCAATTTAATGGGTTCTAAGTGGAACAGGCCAGGAGGCAACTAAAGGCAAAGGGACTAGTGGAAAGGAGAGAACTTGGGCTAGAGGGAAAAGTCAGTAGGCATGTGTTATCCAGGAGTCTCTGCAAAAGGGCACCCAAGAAAATAGTGGAGCCAGTAAGAAGAAAAGAACAGCCAGCTTTCTTCCATACGATGAAGACTAAAAACTGGCCACTGGGAGGACCCTTGGTGAGACAGTATCCCCACTGAATCTTTATGTCCCCAGAGGAACATGAGGCAAGGGGAGGCGACCTTCATTGAGGAGCGAAGGGCACGGGAGAACCGGCTGAATCAGCAGAAGAAGCTTATTGACAAGATCCACACCAAGGAGACCAGCGAAAAGTACCGCCGTGTACATCTTGAACCGTGGCAGCCCTCACCCACTGGGGGAAGAGCAGGGAGGATCCGTCACTTCTCATTCTCACCTGGTTCTCTCTCCCATCAGGGCCGGAGGGACTTGGATTTCTCCTCCAATCTGATGAGTATGGAGAACTTGAAGGGTGAGTCTCAGCTCCTCGTCTTGTCCAGCTAAGGTCTCCAGGAGCCAGCAATGACTGGGACTGCTCAGTCAGGTCACCATGAGGCCAGTGATCACTAGGGTGAGGAAGACAGACGGCCCCTGCCTCTCCCTGACTGTCCCTGAAGAATCTGAGAGCCTATGGCACAAGGTGGCTGCAGAGATGCTATCTCTAGTAACTAGAGCTCGGTCACCCAGTGACATCTCAGAACTGCTTCCCAGAGCCACATGACGTCATGCTGCTCCTGGTCCTTGTCTGTCCTTGAGTTTCCCAAGGTACTCTGAAGGGTCAGGCTGAGGAGAGCAGGTACAGGTACCACGTAAGGGTACCCAACATCCTGGGTGTCTTCTTTGAAGTTTGAGTGTCTATAGAGCCACCAGGTAGCCACTCTTGCACACTGACTAGGCCTTCCTTCTCCACTCTGTCCAGTGAGGAAAAGAGAAACTTCCATAGCAGATATGGAATACCAGACGGAAGTGACTACTTTGGTAGAGAAGGTCAAATCTGCTGTGCAGTGCTCCCACCTCTGGGTAAGTCTCCCTGACCCTTGGAGGGTGACTGAGCTAGGCCAGGGCCTGGGGTGCTCTACAAAAAGGTCACAAAACTTAATCTCCCCCTGGGAGGTCCCCAAATATGATGCTCTCAAGCCTGGATAAGTCTTTCTTTCCTTTTTTTTTTTCTTTTTTTTGAGGTATGAAGATACCTCCAGCATATGGATGCATGTTCCCACTATATTCTATGTACAGGACAGAGTCTGCCAGAATTTGAAAGTACAAATGCTAAGGACCTGGCCTCTCACCACAGCTCTAGCCCCTTCCCAACTTGACAGTCACAGTGAACAACTGCTTCTGCTTGCCTCCTTTTGTCATAGACCTACCTGAGTTACCTACCACTGTCAAGCCTTGGGCTCCCATCCATAGCATCTTGACTGAAGGTGATACATGATCTCTTCCTGGTAGATGGGGTTACTTACCCTCTGCCTGTCATGAAAGCCATGTATCAGGACAGGCTACCCTTCTGCCCAGCCCCTCATAAACCTTAGTACCCAAACTATTCAGTGTTATGACTGAGCTCTAAGTACCAAGAAGCTGCACTATCCATTGGGAAGAGCTATGAGGTCCTACTACCTTTTAGGCCCACACCTGTTTCTCTCTGCCCTGGACTGGTTAGGACATAGCTGGCCGCTTCCTGGCTCAGAAGAATACAGAGGAGAACCTGGAGCTACAGATGGAGGACTGTGAGGAGCGGCGGAGACAGTTGGAGGCCCTGATGAAGAAGCTGGAACTTGAAGAGGCACTGCTCAAGTTCCACCAGACACCCAGCTCGGATGGGTATGTTTCAGGGCTGCTGGATGGCGCCACAGGTACAAGTTAGTAGCTGTACATATCTATTGCCAATAAACCTGTGCATCTGCAGAAGAGCTAAGGACTCACCTGCTTTAAGCTGAATTCATGAGCCCCTGAAGTTGACACAACACCTGGTTCAGGATCCCTGTGGGTCCTGAGTACTGTCCCACCCTTACTGCTGTGCCTACCTCCTCCACAGCTTTAATTCTATTGAAAAAAAGATGACGGCCACGCTAGAAGAGGAAAAAGCAAGGCTCCAGCTGGCCCACAACAACGTGATCAAAAGCCAGCAGCTGCTACTGGCCATCCAGACAGGTATTGACAACCTCTACATCCGGCTCATCGGCATCACCTTGCCAGCCACCCAGGTACCAGCCCCGGGATGGGGAGCTGCTGTACACAGGGTCCTCATGTGGGGCCACCAGAAAAACAATCTGCCCCTCCGGCCTACAGAAAGAAGCAGCAGTCTCTGATACCCTTGATGTGTACGGCAAGCTGGAGTATTGTGAGGGGAAGCTTATGTACCTGACTGAGCGCATGAAAATGCTGTCCAGAAATGAGGAGGTAGCCCTGGGCCACGGAGGGGGATCTGCAAAGCCCAAGTCCTCTCCAAGCTGATAAGGTTGCTGTTCTGCAGGTGGACACAATGGTGAGCGACATCCTGGAGTCAACAACTCTAAAGGAGAAACATAATACCAGAATCACCTTTGAGGACCAAGAAGAGGACGTGATAGGTGAGGCCCTAGATACCAACCACAGGGAGGAGATGGAGAAGGGGGAACAGAGACCATAGCTGGAACATAGAATCTGAACTCAAGTCAAGAGACTCTGCCAGAGTCAAACATACTGGCAAACTGGGTGCTAAAGGGAAAGTGTTTGCTCGGTTATTTGGTTTTTGTGTTTGTTTTTGAGACAGGGTTTCTCTGTGTAACAGCCCTAGCTGCCCTGGAATTATTTCTGACCTCAAACTCACAAAGATCCACCTGCCTCTGCCTCCCAAGTGCTGGGTTTAAAGGCGTGCATCACAACTGCCCAGCTGGGAAAGGCTTTAATGAATAGAGGTGACAGAGGTTAACCTATAGGAGAATTTATAATTTTTTTTCTGAGACAAAGGAGCATACCATTCCATGGGCCAGAAGGGAGTCCAGAACATACCTTTAGTGGAATTTCTGCTGCAAAGGCAGGGTAGGGTGAACGGAGAAGGATGGCTAGTGTGGATCATCTTGGCAAATGCTGGTTCCTTGGCACCTGGCCTTGGGTGACTTAGGGCAGGGGTCAGATCACAGAGAGTCTACAGTCATCGGTCCATCTCTGAAATGAACTCCAGACACAGGAGAAGGCCCACGGCAGCAAAACCAAACGGGTAAAGGGGGTGGGGGTGGGGGTCTCTGAAAAGAGGGAGCCAGCTGACTCCTTTCTTACTGTGCAGAAACCTTCCAGTTTGCGGACGTGGACCATAGCTACGTCCCTTCGCGGGCCGAGATAAAGAGACAGGGCCAGCGGCTGATTGAGGGCAAGCTCAAGGTATCCAAGAAGAAGAAGAAGTAGCCTTGTCCGGGCTTTCGTACACAAATAAACATTTTTCCAGAACTACTCCAGAGAAACGAGAAACCACTTAACTTTGAGGGCGGGGAGGCGGGGCTTTGGACGGGGAGTGAAGAGGAGGGGCGGCTCGGAA